TTGAATGTCTACCAGATTAATTCCCCCATCAAGTATATTTGTATATATATTTTGTTTTACCAAATCCTTTTTCCATAGAAAACCGAAAATAATTTTATTGATTCTTTTAACAATATCATCGGGTACATCTAGAATACTAATTTTGAAATTCCAAGAGTGTTGATGACATGTGCTTTGCCAAAGGGGGTCAGTTTTCTTTTTTTCCATGATTCAAAAAGTTTTTCAAAATTGTTAATCTTGTTGTCCCAGTTTTTTTCTTTGCACAAAGTTTTGTCATTTCCAATATATATTCCCAGACATTTTACAGGTTCTACTCCAAAATGAATATTTTCATGTTTATGTCCATTACTTTTTAAGTTACCTAACCATATTCCCTCAGTTTTGTCATCGTGAGATATCACGGCTTTCTCTCAGTGTCCTTCTATAACCATTCTTGTGCATAGCAGAGATGGTCTGAATATCAAAATGCAGTTTTGTCCATATTTAAATTAAGTCCAGATATTTCAGAAAAATTATTTCTTTCTTTAAGTGCTTCGCGAATAGATTCTTTAGTTGACAATGTGAGGGTGTATATATTATATATATTTCTTTTTCATAAAGCATATTCAATTTTGCGACTTGTTGGTGACAACTATACAACTATAAATTCCTTTAATCCTACCATGAACTTCATTTCCAGGTGTGATGACTTGTGCTGGGACATGCGACTTGTTGGTGACAACTATTCATACATATACAACTATATATTCCTTTAACCCTACCATGAACTTCATTTCCAGGTGTGATGTCTTAACAAAACAGTTTTCTCATCAATGAGATGATTTCTCTCGTCAAAAAAGTTATTTACATATTAAATAAAACCTGCATTTATCCAATTTTTCATGTATAAAGTTTCTTTCCTACATAAAAACCGTTTTTTAGCCATAAAACTTCTGTTCCAGGATGTTTATTTTTCTCTATTTCCTTACATCTATTGTATGCACAAAAGACATGTTTGTAGAACTTATAGTGATCTAAAATCTTAACATTTTCGTCAAATTTTGTTTTGTAAAAATCGTTTATTGTAAAACCAAGCTTATTTATGATAAATTCTGGAATTATTTTAACCGATGTGTTTGTTGTTTATATACGAGGTCCCCATGCAGCTTTTAAAGCATCAATTTTACATTGAATGTCTACCAGATTAATTCCCCCATCAAGTATATTTGTATATATATTTCGTTTTACCAAATCCTTTTTCCATAGAAAACCGAAAATAATTTTATTGATTCTTTTAACAATATCATCGGGTACATCTAGAATACTAATTTTGAAATTCCAAGAGTGTTGATGACATGTGCTTTGCCAAAGGGGGTCAGTTTTCTTTTTTTCCATGATTCAAAAAGTTTTTCAAAATTGTTAATCTTGTTGTCCCAGTTTTTTTCTTTGCACAAAGTTTTGTCATTTCCAATATATATTCCCAGACATTTTACAGGTTCTACTCCAAAATGAATATTTTCATGTTTATGTCCATTACTTTTTAAGTTACCTAACCATATTCCCTCAGTTTTGTCATCGTGAGATATCACGGCTTTCTCTCAGTGTCCTTCTATAACCATTCTTGTGCATAGCAGAGATGGTCTGAGTATCAAAATGCAGTTTTGTCCATATTTAAATTAAGTCCAGATATTTCAGAAAAAATACTTATTTCTTTCTTTAAGTGCTTCGCGAATAGATTCTTTAGTTGACAATGTGAGGGTGTATATATTATATATATTTCTTTTTCATAAAGCATATTCAATTTTGCGACTTGTTGGTGACAACTATACAACTATAAATTCCTTTAATCCTACCATGAACTTCATTTCCAGGTGTAATGACTTGTGCTGGGACATGCGAATTGTTGGTGACAACTATTCATACATATACAACTATATATTCCTTTAACCCTACCATGAACTTCATTTCCAGGTGTGATGACTTGTGCTGGGACATGCGACTTGTTGGTGACAACTATACAACTATAAATTCATTTAATCCTACCATGAACTTCATTTCCAGGTGTGATGACTTGTGCTGGGACATGCGACTTGTTGGTGACAACTATACAACTATAAATTCCTTTAATCCTACCATGAACTTCATTTCCAGGTGTGATGACTTGTGCTGGGACATGCGACTTGTTGGTGACAACTATTCATACATATACAACTATATATTCCTTTAACCCTGCCATTTACTTCATTTCCAGGTGTGATGACTTGTGCTGGGACATGCGACTTGTTGGTGACAACTATTCATACATATACAACTATATATTCCTTTAACCCTACCATGAACTTCATTTCCAGGTGTGATGACTTGTGCTGGGACATGCGACTTGTTGGTGACAACTATTCATACATATACAACTATATATTCCTTTAACCCTACCATGAACTTCATTTCCAGGTGTGATGACTTGTGCTGGGACATGCCACTTATTGGTGACAACTATTCATACATATACAACTATAAATTCCTTTAACCCTGCCATTTACTTCATTTCCAGGTGTGATGACTTGTGCTGGGACATGCGACTTGTTGGTGACAACTATTCATACATATACAACTATATATTCCTTTAACCCTACCATGAACTTCATTTCCAGGTGTGATGACTTGTGCTGGGACATGCGACTTGTTGGTGACAACTATACAACTATAAATTCCTTTAATCCTACCATGAACTTCATTTCCAGGTTTGATGACTTGTGCTGGGACATGCGACTTGTTGGTGACAACTATACAACTATAAATTCCTTTAATCCTACCATGAACTTCATTTCCAGGTGTGATGACTTGTGCTGGGACATGCGACTTGTTGGTGACAACTATTCATACATATACAACTATAAATTCCTTTAACCCTACCATGAACTTCATTTCCAGGTGTGATGACTTGTGCTGGGACATGCGACTTGTTGGTGACAACTATACAACTATAAATTCCTTTAATCCTACCATGAACTTCATTTCCAGGTGTGATGACTTGTGCTGGGACATGCGACTTGTTGGTGACAACTATTCATACATATAGAACTATATATTCCTTTAACCCTACCATGAACTTCATTTCCAGGTGTGATGACTTGTGCTGGGACATGCGACTTGTTGGTGACAACTATACAACTATAAATTCCTTTAATCCTACCATGAACTTCATTTCCAGGTGTGATGACTTGTGCTGGGACATGCGACTTGTTGGTGACAACTATACAACTATAAATTCCTTTAATCCTACCATGAACTTCATTTCCAGGTGTGATGACTTGTGCTGGGACATGCGACTTGTTGGTGACAACTATACAACTATAAATTCCTTTAATCCTACCATGAACTTCATTTCCAGGTGTGATGACTTGTGCTGGGACATGCGACTTGTTGGTGACAACTATTCATACATATACAACTATATATTCCTTTAACCCTACCATGAACTTCATTTCCAGGTGTGATGACTTGTGCTGGGACATGCGACTTGTTGGTGACAACTATTCATACATATACAACTATATATTCCTTTAACCCTACCATGAACTTCATTTCCAGGTGTGATGACTTGTGCTGGGACATGCGACTTGTTGGTGACAACTATACAACTATAAATTCCTTTAATCCTACCATGAACTTCATTTCCAGGTGTGATGACTTGTGCTGGGACATGCGACTTGTTGGTGACAACTATACAACTATAAATTACTTTAATCCTACCATGAACTTCATTTCCAGGTGTGATGACTTGTGCTGGGACATGCGACTTATTGGTGACAACTATTCATACATATAGAACTATATATTCCTTTAATCCTACCATGAACTTCATTTCCAGGTGTGATGACTTGTGCTGGGACATGCGACTTGTTGGTGACAACTATTCATACATATACAACTATAAATTCCTTTAACCCTACCATGAACTTCATTTCCAGGTGTGATGACTTGTGCTGGGACATGCGACTTGTTGGTGACAACTATTCATACATATACAACTATATATTCCTTTAACCCTACCATGAACTTCATTTCCAGGTGTGATGACTTGTGCTGGGACATGCGACTTGTTGGTGACAACTATACAACTATAAATTCCTTTAATCCTACCATGAACTTCATTTCCAGGTGTGATGACTTGTGCTGGGACATGCGACTTGTTGGTGACAACTATTCATACATATACAACTATATATTCCTTTAACCCTACCATGAACTTCATTTCCAGGTGTGATGACTTGTGCTGGGACATGCGACTTGTTGGTGACAACTATACAACTATAAATTCCTTTAATCCTACCATGAACTTCATTTCCAGGTGTGACGACTTGTGCTGGGACATGCGACTTGTTGGTGACAACTATTCATACATATAGAACTATATATTCCTTTAACCCTACCATGAACTTCATTTCCAGGTGTGATGACTTGTGCTGGGACATGCGACTTGTTGGTGACAACTATTCATACATATACAACTATATATTCCTTTAACCCTATCGACCAATTCATTTTCAGGTTTTGATGGCTGGTGCTAGAACATGCGACTTGTTGGTGACAACTACATGCATACATATACACTATAAATTCCTTTAACCCTATCGACCAATTCATTTTTAGGTTCGATGACTGTTGCTGGGACATGCCACTTATTGGTGACAACTATTCATACATATACAACTATAAATTCCTTTAACCCTATCGACCAATTCATTTTCAGGTTTGATGACTGGTGCTAGCACATGCGACTTGTTGGTGACAACTATTCATACATATACACTATAAATTCCTTTAACCCTATCGACCAATTCATTTTTAGGTTTGATGACTGGTGCGAGAACATACGACTTATTGGTGACAACTATTCATACATATACAACTATAAATTCCTTTAACCCTATCGACCAATTCATTTTCAGGTTTGATGACTGGTGCTAGAACCTGCGACTTGTTGGTGACAACTATGAATGTCGTAAATACATCTGGAGTCAACATTACATGGAGCCAAGCAGAATGTAGAGAATATATCACCGATACGTTCATGTGTGTGAAAATGAAGAAAACCAATCTGGATCGGGATAACAACCTACCATGCCCAGCACGACGGCCGTGCATGTGCTTCGACTTTGAACCTGACGAACGAAAGGTTGATTGCATCTTTGTAGATTTGTACACAATACCAACTGATTTATCACAAAATGTAAGTAAATTGTACGCGATGGATAACAAAATAAGTTACATCGAAAATGGAATGTTTCATGGAATGTCAAATATCCAATATTTAACACTTGATCTAAATGAGATACATGAAATCGCTTCGTTCGGATTCAAGAGGCTCGATAAACTAGAGGACCTGGAAATACGGTATAATAAAATGCCACTGAAACTAAGGAAGAGATCATTTGGAGGATTATATACGCTAAAATCATTGTATCTATGTAAGACTTTTAAGTTGGATTACCCAACGAATAGCAAACTTTTCCAAGATTTAATTTCTCTTGAGCATTTAGGAATTGATGGATGTGATATAAAACATGAATTAGATGTTTTTCTCCCTAATCCACATCTCTTGCGAACATTATCAATAAGTCAACTAGATATATTTAATACAATGTTCAGAAATCCAACAAATTATAGTAATCTGAATCATCTACTTGTTTTTAATTCAGTTCGGAAAAATGAAACAATATCAGACGGACAATTTGATGGACTGAACAAACTGGAAAAATTGGAATTCGTTAGAGCAGATATACACAGTCTAAAACCGACTCATTTTGTAGGTCTTGTATCACTGAAACGTTTATATATAGAACGCTGTAACATCCACACGATTGAACAACAAGCGTTTACCCCACTTAAAAATATTGAAAAAATCTCGATTTACCTGGATACATTGCCCAAATACCCACTGACATTATTTCAAAGTCTTGAAAAGTTGACAGAAGTTCAAAGCTGGCATATGGAATTTTGCTGCATAGTTCCAACAACAGTAAAAACGTGTGCGCCACAGCCAGACCACCTGTCTTCATGTGGAGATCTTGTTAAGAACGACATACTCAGAGTGTCTCTGTGGACATTCGGTATATGTATACTCCTTGCGAACAGTGCTGTCATCATACTTCGTTTCAGAGAAGGCAGACCGAAGCATGATATAAACCATATAATGGTTTTGCATCTCTCATTTTCGGATATGATAATGGGAGTTTACATTATCATAATTGCTTCGATGGATATGAAATACAGAGGTACCTATTTTCAACATCAGGGTGTTTGGACCAAAAGTGCTTTATGCATGGCTTCTGGATTTATTGCATCGTTGTCAAGTGAGATGTCCGTTTACATCCTCGTTGTCATGACGCTTGACAGGTTCCTCAAAATAGTGTTTCCTTTTAAAATGTGGTTACACTTTTCCAAGCGTGTTGTAAATGGTGTTCTCAGTTTTGGCTGGATTCTCTGTATAACCCTAACAGCTTTACCACTTCTCCCTCTCGACTACTTTAGTCCCCATGAATTCTATACGCAATCTGGCTTCTGCTTACCGCTTATGTTGAATTACGATTCTGCAAAAGAAGCCTTGTTAAACCAACGTGAAAACACAAAACAGGACGGTAGCATTGAGCTAGATAGACAGAAATCACAACAGGCATATTCTCATTTTAACGGCTGGGAGTATTCCTTTGCTCTTTTCAATGTTGTCAACCTTGTCGCCTTTCTTCTAATAGCTGTTGGCTACTTGGCCATATTCTTTGCGACTAGGATCTCGAGATCAAAAACCAAACAAGGCTCGGGGAATGAGCGAGACAGGAAGATGGCGGTGAAATTGATGTGGATCGTGTCTACCGACTTTTGCTGCTGGATTCCTGTAATAATCATGGGAATCCTAACCTTTTACAAAATAGCGCTACCAGGTTGGTATTACATGTACCATTTGTTATGTATATTAGTATAAGGCCATGTGCTTTTATATAACTTAAATTGTTACGTTTTTATCTTCGCTCCAAAAAAACGTGTTTGATTTATTTTGACTGAGATGAAGCACCTTTTGAATAAAAAACGTATTAAATTGTGCCACATTCTAATATTTTCCCACATTAGACGTTTCCACCACTTGAATAGAGAATGAAAACTACAAATCGTCTCAAATTATGTAAAGTGGAACTAAGAAAAAACATAGACCTACGTGTAACTTAAGTATCTTTTGATTTTATTTATTTCAGGGGAAATTATTGCCTACGTCAGTATATTTGTGTTGCCAATCAACAGCGCTATCAACCCGATACTGTACACATTTAGCACACTTTCCTGGAAAGACTTATGGAAGAAGTGCAAGTGTACATGTATGTCAGAAGACTGCCACCAAGCGTCAAGTCCGAGGATATCATCAGCATCGGCCACTACTAAACTGTGAATGTTCAGATTAAAGTAATAGACCTATCAGTCAAAATAAAAGGAATGGTAGAGCCAGAGATGTATCTTACTCTGTGAAAAACTACAAAACGTGAATCTACACGTTTGAGTAATAAATATACGAAAGCATGCATTCAAGAGGCCTTATTCACAGAGCTTGCCTATGACTACGAACTTGTGTGTGATGTAATGGTAACGGATGCGCGACCGCCTTTTTGTATTAATATAGGTTACGTGCGACCGGCCTGCGCATCCGTGAGACGTCATACGAACACCTTACGATGTTCATAAAATTATCCACGATTTACGCCATGAAAGTTTACTGATAAAACTTTATTAATTAAAATGTTTTACTACATACAGGGTGGTCCATAAAATTGGAACATTTTTTAATTGAAAGCAAAATCTTTATTTTTCCTCTAATATGCACCAAAACTTTACTGAGTATAGTTCAGTCACATAATTATCTGATGTAAAGTTTATAGGTGCAAACAACAAAGTTAATGCATTAAACTAGACTAGACAATGATTCATATGACCCCTCTTCTCCTGAATTACCAAGTTCAAGCCTCGGACTCAGATTTGAAAATATTCATTTAGTTTGCTGTTCGTTTGTTTTTGTCCAAGCCATCTTGATTTAAAATATCAGCTTGGCCAAAAACGTCCAATATGTTTGCCTTGGAAGATCAAACCTGGTAATATATTCAACCTTTATCCAAATTGATGGGTATCAAGCATATTTTGATGGCTATTATTGGGTGTATTACTAATGGACTATTATACTCCAGAAAGAGGTCAGGGTAAATAAAGCCCCCTCCCACCTTTATTGTAATAATATGAATAATATTCATTGGATATATCAATATGTATATAAATATCATAGAGGTGTCTCCCAGAACACAAATGATATATTATATAGTATGTGCTTAGAGTTGGTCTTTAATAAAGCTTTGGTCAGTTTTGCCTTTATTGAAAAGTGGAAACAATGCCTTGTCACTTAATGGCTGTGTGGGTTATGCAATCGCTCACTTCTGACATGTTCCCTTTTCCCTATTCTTAAATAAAAAAATCATTTCGGGTATTCTTTAATTAAGTTGGCATTAACACACTAGTTTCCTTAAAGTCTCCGATAAATCGGACTACGTATACCGCCGTGTTTACATTAGGGGATTAGAAGAGTTTATTTCTATTTAGGTATGCAAGCAATATCAATATTAGGCCTTCATGCATGTACTCGTGTGTACAATCAGCATGCCCTTCAATGTTATATAAACCAGGCTATTCAAGTACTACATAATGTACACTATTTATGTGTGTGCTACATGGGAATACGAGAAACTTGCCTGTTTACGATTATACGGGAAATCAACATGGGACGAAGATTGTTCACCTTCCTGACTTACCTCTGAAGCCTGTACCTTGTAATCTCTTTATATAGGTTAGCCAGAGCGCTGCGCCTGTGCAGTTTTAAACTTTGGCGCACACTTTAAGTAACCCATAAATATAAATACCTCTTGTCAACTGAATATGATTTTACAAAATGTTTATAGCAATCAACATGTTCATTAAAGTCCCCATATAAAGTTTAAACCACTTTGGCTTATATTGTAGTCTTACTCAATGTAATCAAAGTGTGATATGTGAAACTTTTTTTTTAAATTTCAAAAAGTGGTTTTTGATAGACTTTTTGTTCCAAAATTTGTAAATTTATTTAAAACTAACTTTTAGAGGTCACACATATATTTTAATAAGCCACAATTTACACCAATGCATAGCATTCATCCTCGCATGTTTTTTGCCGAAAAAATTGACAAAATCGGTTTATAAATAAGCGAGAAATGAACTCATCAGTGCATGAAAATGGTTTCGAGAAAAATGCATTTCAAAATTTTAGTTCTCATAGAAACCAATGGTACAATGATATCTAAAACATAATATATTCTTCCTTTTAACCTGGTTTGATAATTAACATTGGTTTATTATTGAAGTCTAGCAATTTAGAAAAGATTGACATCGAAAAAAAATTCAATTCTTTTCAAAAAGTTTTTGCTACCTTAGTGACATCACTTATGTTGCAAAATATTTTTGATATGCGGAAACATTGAAGTGGCCCATTAAATATGGCACTTTATTATTGAAATAGAGTGTCCTTTGTTCAATCTTTGCATTGGTGTTAAGAAGATGATCTTTTTTGAAATGCATTAAGAAATATTTGATGATTTAAAAATTTCAACTTTTTTTGAAAGATGGCGGAAAATTTGAATATTTGAGAACTGAAATGCTCACAACTTTTTTTCAAAATAACTTTTTTTCAAAAATCTCTAAAACAACTTTTTAAGTCATGACATATAGTAAATGAATGATAAAAACATATTTTCAAACTTTAGACGGGGACTTTAAACCTTTGAAATAAAATATACTTGAAAAAGTAGTGGCGAAATAGACGGTTCTATCGCATTAACTTTGAGGTTCGCACCTATGAACTTCTTATCAGATAAATATAAGTAACTGAACTATGCTCAGTAAAATTTTTGTACATTTTAGAGGAAAGGTAAAGGTTTTGCGTTCAATTAACAAATGTTCCAACTCGTATGAAGGCGATTACGCAGGAGCGGAAATTAATGTCGCTAAGGATTTTTTCTCAAACGTCAACGAAAATACTTTGGGTCAGTACAGCCACCAAATGGAAAGTTTTCATTTTTAACTGTTATTGAGAATTTATTATAACTCAATTTCTTAATAACTCAATTCAGAATTTAATGTCAAATTCTTCATGTATGCTATGTCGCCAGAGAGCGCAGAAGTGGCAAATTGAAATAGTGAAATTTGAAAAAGTGACCATATTTATGCACTACATTAATTCCATTTTACATTATTTATTGATTGGAATTAAATATTATTTCCTAAATGCAATTCATAGTTTTGTTGTTAGTGCCCTGTGGCAAAGATA